CTTCCAATATTCTATTCTATTCTATTCTATTCTATTCTATTCTATTCCATTCTATTCTATATTCTCTTCTCTTTTCTTCTGTATTCTATTCTATTTTCCATTCCATTATTCTATGTATTTTATTTCTATTTCTCTTCCCTGTGATCCTGTTACCTAAGAGGCTGTCCCAGAGAAGAGGGGGTTGACTTATACACCAAACCACCAATGGGCTGGACAAGTAGTAATGGTGAAAGATCATTAAAGAGATTCTGTTATTCTGAAGATCCAACCTAGCCTTAAGGAGAAATTTCCTGTCAGCGAGAACAAGTTACAATCAAGAGTTGCTTCTAGAAGTGGTGGGTGCTGTAACACTGGAAGTTTTCTAGAGGAGACTGAACAGCTATTGGTCTAGAATGTTAGAGGGTCTTCTTATTGAGCTGGACTAGAAGACCTCCAAGGTCCCTTCCAACTCTGTTGTTCCAAATCTGGCTCCAGATGTTGCTGCTTCTTTTACCTTGTTCCTTTTAGCTGCATTAATTGTACCTCCAAAGGGGTTTTGAGGGGCATCAACTTGGAGATGCCCGTGATCATCAATCATCTGTTATCTCAGACAGAGGCTCAATTTTGGAGGCAGTTCCTGTGGACTATTGGGTTGTCCCAAGGCCTCAGCTCAGCCTTCCATCCTTGCATTCATCAAGTGCATTCCATAAAGAGTTTTTGAAAGATAGTAACTAGGTGATTGAAGTTTCTGCCGGCCCCAAACCTCTAATTGGAGAGCATGATTGATGACTCTTGGCTATGGACATATTTTGTTGGAGAATATGAATTATGACCCACCCAGAGGGGTGGGGGAAAAACAGGGTCATAGGTGATACTATATTATGTGTCTCGGAATCGGCTTCATACAGATCATGCCGACATGTTCGCTTCTAATAAATCGTTTGAAGTTTTTTTGAAGTTTGGCTCAAGGCTCATGAGTTAATTAGGGCGATCTCCAGAATCCTGATGACATCTTTTATTTCCGGCAGGTGATAGATGGCTTCTTTGTCAAACGTACCCGTGACATTCGGGAATCTGCTGCTTATCTGACCATCATGACCCGTCATTTGACCAGACAGTACAGGGTAAGTTTGGAGCAATGTGGACTCCTTGGACCTCATGAGGACTAGCCTCTTACCTTTTTGTTTTGTTTTGTTTTGTTTATCTCAGCATTAAGACTTCTATTTTGGGTGTGAAACCTTCCCGGTTTTAAGTCACTTTTTTTTCCGGTGCCCTTGTAACTTCAAACGGTCGCTAGATAGAATTCTTGTGATCAGACGCAATGCTCTTCGGCTAAGCCTATTTCTACCAATTTCTTGTAAAAAATATGAGGGGAAAATAAAAATGAGGAATTGCTATATTAAATTAAATTGATTAAAACAATATTTTAAAATAACAGAGTGGAATTAGAATAGAACAGAATAGAATAGAATTCAGAATAGATTTCAGAATAGAGTAGAATAGAATAGGATTCAGAATAGAATATAAAGGATAGAAATATAGAATAGAATAGAACAGCAGTCGGAAGGGACCTTGGAGGTCTTCTAGTCCAACCCCCTGGTCAAGCAGAAGACCCTATATTTGTACTTAACTCTAACCCTATATACTATATTTTATCTTCTTCCCTCCCCCTCTCAAGTATCAGTCACTTTTAATATGAATGCAAAATTCATAGAAAGGAGGAGGAGGGGATAGACCCCTGAAGTTAAGCTATTTTTCATGTATAAATCAATATTTCTCAACCTCAGCCACCGTAAGATGGTGCGTTTTAAGACTTTCAGCTCCCAGAATTCCCAGCTAGCCTGCTTTAAGCCATGTGGACTTCAACTCCCAGAATTCCTCTGGGAGTGGGTGGGATAAGTCGTAAGTCAAGGATCGGACGTAAGTCAACTGCTTGTAAAGACCCAGAGCCATGATGGAGAAAAAGACGAGTTAAAGATAAGAGTTTCTCTCTAAGGAGGGGTTGGACTAGATAGATGACCTACAAGGTCCCTTCTGACTCTTAATCTGTAAGTAAGTAAATTATTTTTTCCCTCTATTTTTCCCCTGTAGGACAAAATGCTTTTGAGTTGTACCAAGCAGGAACTGGAGGATGAGCGCCCCCTGCAGCCCAGGGCGGGTATCTGCAGGCTTCTGACATTTGCTGAATTTAACGAAGGGGCTGTAAAAAATAAGGTGAGGAATTCGGCAAACAAACAAGTATGTCAGTACCTGGCCCATGAATAGCAAAACTGCAAATAGCCAAAACAATTCTCTACCTGCTTTTCCAATCTGCACTAAGTACAAACCTAGTGACTAACAAATTTCTTGTGTGTCCAATAAAGAATTCTATTTCTATTTCTATTTCTATTCTATTATTTCTATCCTCTATATTCTATTCTATTCCTATTCTATTCTATTTCTATTCCTATTCTATTATTTCTATATTCTATTCTATTCTATTGTTTCTATTCTCTATATTCTATTCTATGCTAAGCTATGCTGTTCTATTCCTACTATTCTGTTCTGTTCTATTCCTATTCTATTTCTATTCCTATTCTATTCTATTATTTCTATCTTCTATCTTCTATTCTATTATATTCTATTCCTATTCTATTATATCCTACTTCTATTCTATTCTATTCTAATTATTTCTATCCTCTTATTCTATTCTATGCTATGCTATGCTAAGCTATGCTATTCTATTCCTACTATTCTGTTCTGTTCTATTCCTATTCTATTTCTATTCCTATTCTATTATTTCTATCCTCTATATTCTATTCTATTATATTCTATTCCTATTCTATTCTAGTTCTATTCATATTCTATTATTTCTATATTCTACTCTATTTCTATTCTTATTCCTATTCTTTCTATTCCTATTCTACTATTTCTATTCTATTCTATTCTATTCTATTCTATTCTATTCTATTCTATT